TTCCTGATGACACGAAGATCACAGCTAGCCTCCAGTGCCCCACAGTGCTTCGACCTGGTCCACTCAAGCCCACGTGTGTGCTCGTTTTCCTCATTACACAGAACTGGACTCTACTCATTCTCACTCACACGCAAACTTGTTTATATGCCTGAAAGACAGAATGCACTTACAGTGGCTTTGAATACATTTAGAAAGTCTTATTCTACAACAGTTGAAATGACGTGTTCATCAAACCAGGTTTTACAGAGATGGCAAAGCAGTAAATAGAAAGAACAGCAAATGTGCCTAAGCTTCTTTATGAAAAACAAACAATTCCACTAATAGGTGAAGATAAAATACATATAGGCTTAAGATAAAATAGATTTGGGATCTTATAATTGAATGGATAGTATCAAAGCTGGTGACTTACTAATTTTTTATAGTCAGTAATAAATAAATAGATGCCTCTGATAGTACCTGGCCTTACCCAGAGTAGGCTGTCCTGGTCAAAACCACCTGTTTACTTTCTGAGAATGGTAAACTAGTAAGAAAGGGCAAGTGTGGTCTTACTAACACAAGTACCTTACTTTACAAGCTCCACTGGGAATGTAAGCTCTCTGGGGGCAGAAAGGGTTTTCGTCACTGCTTCAACCCAATGTCTCCAATACTGTGTGGGACATACTGGCCGCCTACTAATTGATTGCTGAAAGAATAACTTTAAGAAACTATTTCAGATGAACTATTTTAGAAGAGATAGCTTCAAGCACGTGTTTTCTGGGGGTGAGTGGGGGAAGCACAAATTTTCAAATAGGTGAGCAACAAATTCCTTAGGGTTAGAAATACTTCATATACTTGAGTATAAGCTGACCTGAATATCAGCCAAGGCACCTAATTTTATCACAAAACAGCATTAAAAATGTGCTGAAAAACTCAGCGTATACACGAGCATATACGGTATATTGTGTGATCAAATCAACAGACTAGTAAATGTCACCTATGACAAAGCTAAAACCTAGCAAACACACATTATCTGGTGATCTGACATGCATATCAGAAGGAGCTGCCATAAATCCTCCAAAAGATGAAAAACCGTATCTGTGGGAAAAAGGGACACTATTTGGTAGAAAAACCTCTATATTGAAATTGCTGGAAAGCTATGAACCTTAGGGTACATTTAAATCAAACAGCCAAAAGGAAACTACACATTTTTGTCTTCTAAGCACTTTCAGGAAATAAAAAAAATCTTAATTTAGTATGCTTAAATTAGAAGCCTAATATATAACCTATAATAGTCTTACTTAGATGTTCTCTGAATGTACTTTCTTTAATGATGTAAGTATAATTATGAATAAAATCAGATAGAAATACATCAAGAGCGTATCTGGAGAACATTGGTTTACAAATCTTTAAAATGAAAACCTCTTTCTAGATGTATCCCATAGTAGCTAAATCCATTATTCACAAGAGGCTAACTAACTTAACAAGTAAATGGGTGGAATTAATGGATTACCAATTTAGCCCCATCTCCAGGAACCCTGGTGGCACAGTGACAAACAATGGATCATTAATGGCAAGGCCAAAGGTTTAGATCAGCTATCAGCTGCTCTGTGGAAGACAACACTTTCTGCTCCCATAAGTATTACAGCGTTGGAAACCCGTGTGCGGGAATTATACTCTGTCCTCCAGGGGCTATGAGCGAATCTGTTGCACTGGACTGAAAGGAAAATGGGGCTCAGAGAAGGTATGTACTTAGAGCCAGGTTAGCTGGCCTCTGCTTCAGTACACATTTTAGATGTTTTTTGGTTCAGTGTTATCTATTTTGGCTTTTTGTAAGAGCAAGTCTTAACCATTTGGCTGAAGCATTTTTGGATTCTCAATCAGGTACCCTGCTTTCTTCCTTTGCATGAAAGCTGCTTCGCTCTGGGTTATGTCTTCCTGTAGGCATTCCTACACTCTCCTAGAAACCGAGGTCTGCTTTATTGTTGCTAGATGCCATCAAGTTGGTTCCCACGCACAGCAATGCTGTACAGCAGAAAGAAACATCACGTGGGGTCCTGCATCATATGCTTGCCATGGTTCTTGTGTTTGAGTTCATCAACGCAGCTGTGTGTGTGTGTCAACCATCTCCTTGACGGTGTTCCTCTTTTGGGATGTCCCTAGACTTTACCAAGCATGACGTCCAGGGCTTGGTCTCTCCTGGTAACATGTTCAAAGTAGGCGAGACTAAGCCTGACCATCTTTGCTTCTAAGCAGCATTCTGGCTATACTTCTTCCATGACAAGAACGATTTGGTTTTGGGAAGTTTGTGGTACTTTATTCTTTGCCAACACCGCAGTTTGAATACATTGATTTTTCTTTGGTTTTTCTTACTTAATGTTCAACTTTCAAATGTATAAGAGGCAAATGAAAGTACTATGGCTTGGGTCAGGCATACCTCAATCTTCAAAGTAACATCCTTGTTTGTCAACACTTTATACAAAGAGGTCTTGTGCAGCGGACTTAACCAATGCCTTATGTCTGCTAGGACAAGCGGTTTCTGTCCCCTTCACCTTCTCTGTGGAGCCCAGTGGCAGTGGTTATTCAGCTACCAAGCGAGAGATCGGTGGTTCTGACCAACTGACCACTGCAACGGAGATGGATGTGGCAGTCTGCTTCTGTAAAGATTTTTGGCAGTTCTACTCTGTCCTGTAGGGTTCTGAGTCAGAAATGGCTCCATGGCAATGGATTGGCCCTCTCAAGGATCTTATAGCACACATTTCCAAGTTAAAAGTAAATGCTATCTGGACCCAACCAGTCTGTTCTATAAAAGAGGGCATCACAAAATTCACGGAAATTTTTCCTTTATCTTTTAATCCCATTTTCCAATAAAATTTTCTTGAAGTCCCTCCCTCACCAACTGAAAACTTAAAATACTCAGCAGTAAACGTTCACTTTTTTAGCATATGTTAATTCTAATTTACTTGAATTCTGGATGGAGAAAACATTTTCCCAGAGAGCCAAATGTGACTAGCTTATAGAGTCAGCATGTTTCGTCAATGGCCAATGCTCAATGTGTCGTACTTAAACGGAAATAAAACAAATCTTCTCTTTCAGGGTTTAGAGGAAATAAAACTGGAAACAAGCAAAATAAAACGTCAAACTTTTAAAGCTTATTTCCTTTCTCATAAAGTCTCAGAGGTCCTCTTAGCAGGTCTAGAAGATTGAAGTCTTAATATACATCATGTGTGCATGATGTATGAACACGAATAACATTTAAAGGAGCCAATTACATGAAATATGTGGTGCAGGTGAAGCAAGGAACTGAATCAGTGGGAGGAAAAACAGTACCCGAGGAAGGACAAATTACTTAGTGACTAGTAGGAGCTGGGTGCGGTCTAAGAGAACAATGAAAATTGTTTTGTTTAAACATCAATTGCAAGGGATTAACTTTTGGATTTCCCTAAAGAAAACCCAGAAAATGTCCCCCAAGTTTCTTTTACATTGAAATACTTCATATTAATTGCATACGTGTTTGATTTTTGCTTTTACAGTTATTGATTTGGGTTAACAAGAAGGTTGTAACCCTGAAGAATGATTTTTGCAGAAACTACAGCATGTGCTATCCTTTCTTCTCGTGATCCCACATCTATAGGGGCGAGGAGGAGTTTATTTCATGACATAGACTGTATTAAGAAGTCCAAGGAAAGGATGCCTGCAGAGAAAGCTTGACTTTTTCATCATGGGACCAGGATGTGAAGTTGGCATATCTGAGATACATGGTAAGAAAAGTGGCCAGGACCATGTGCTTCAGCTCTTTTCTTAGCTACACAGTTCTTATCATCTTTATTTGTGGATCTTTTCAAAGAATCGATGACCAGTAGTTAGTTGTAGGAAGAGATAGTAATGATACTACTAAGATCAAGAGGCAAAGCCCGCACGCACCATGCTACGTAATTATTATCACCCACTGTACAGCTGAAGAAAGCAAGACAAATATGTCTCTCAAGATAGCAGAATCAAGAGCAGGCAGCTGGTTTCTCACTACACTCTTCAACTAGCAAATCAAGTTATTTAGATATTGATCATGCCAGACTGATTTGACCAAGCCATTTTAAGCAACAGAAGAGGGGTGAAGTGGGGAACCAGGTGTCCTGAGACCAGAGTGTCGCCGTTCGGCATGGCGACACAGCATTGGTCAGCACTGCCAGGCTCTGCACTTACTCCGGAGCCCCGCTAGAGCAACCAGATGCATCATCTTGTTAATAAGGGACACGCAGCCCACCCAAATCTTCCAGTTTTAAACAACCGGATTCTCTACTCGGCTATGCAGCGTTCTTTCCACGACAGTGTAATAGCACAGGGATGGTCACCTGATCATAGCCTTTAGTTTCCAAAAGAGAAACTGTGAACACTGCAAGTCTGTTGTATAAACTAAGTATTTCTTTACGTAAATTAAGATGAGATTTAGAACTCTCTCAGTTGTACCTCATTGCAATTCTAACCAGGGTGATTTGATTATCTAACTGAATTTATCCTGTACTATCCCAGTTTATTTTCCACCATTCCAAAGTAGAAAAAGCATGAAAAACAAAAGGAAATTGAGCGCTCCCATCAAGTCGTACTCCAAGAAAATAAATAAAAAAATAGCCCATCATACCAAGTAACGGCACACAGAACCTAAAATAACACCAATGTGCAGTGTTCACAGACAGTTCTAAGTTGTAGAGGTCAGATGCTAAGAGAAGTTTACACTACTTGCTGGTTGGGGTATAAGCTGCCTCTTGCTGTGAAATTCTTTTTGCCTTCCTTCAGGTTAGTGGGATCCGGCACGCATGGAGGCCTTTTAAAAGCGAAGTGGCGCACAGGGGACTTGTGAAAAGCAGGGGACGTCTACATTATGCTTAGTGTGATTTTCCATTGGATAGAACAATTTTGAAGTCTAGGTTTTGCTGATAATTATTAAAATTAAGTCATCAACATTAATCAAGCCACTTAGAGAATTAGAAAAAAATTAAAGAAATGGAGAAGGAAGGCCGTTTTACCTTACTACATTTTGCTGCACACACTCGACCTTCATTAGAATTTGGACACCGGCCTGAGAGTGAATGTAGACTTTCAATCTGAAATAAAAATGAAGCAAGAAAGGAAGCAAATGTGAGTTCTGATAGGTTTTAAGAGTGTCTTATGAATTCTATGCATTAAGAGCAGATAATAATATTTAAAATTCACTTAAGCAAAGAAAAAGGGCTAAAAGGTATTTTTCTCTCCAAGATCCAAATAAAAAAGTAACCTTTCTCCTCGTGTCTCTTGGCTATTTTATTTTGAACTCTTAAAGTCAGTTCAATGACCAATGTCTAGCAAATACAAAAAGCATTTATCCAAACACTATCAAATGACTGACCACCAACTAATGACTGGCGACAATTGCTGAATCATCAGTCTTAAGGGAAAAATACCCACCCCCCCAAACCCTAGCAGGCCCTAAGGCATTTGGTTGATATTTAGTTCACTTGGGTATTAGCCAGAGTCAAAGGAAGAATGAAGTCTAATTAGAAGAGAGTCAGACATTTAAAAATCTACGCAAGTCTAAATTTGAAACACCAGGTACCATCTGGTCTAAGGAAGTCAGCTGGGTTCCTGCCTAGGACTGCTAATAATTCAAACTCTTAATAACAGCTCCCTTTTGGGGGGTACTGCCTACTATGTGCTAGGCCTTGTACTAGGTGCTTTACAGTTACTTCCTTTAAGCTCCATGACAACTCTACTGAGCAGGTATTCTCGCGCTCATTTTATTAATGATGGAAGAGTTAAAGCCCAAAGTCACTTTCTCCTGATCAAATAGCTATAAATGGGCAAAGCCAGCTATTGTAACTCATATCTATATGAACGAATCTATCTCACATGTTAGCCACTTGTGAACATGTTGCATTTTTGGACAGGAGGCTAAGTATACTTTGCTGAGTTTTAAGAAGACATGGCAGATAAGATATCCTATCTTTAGCAGCTATTTGGAAAGTCTTAATTTCATTTCAGGAGCTTTGGTTCAAGTTGAATGACAGTCTACAGCAGTGGTTCTCAACCTTCCTAATGCAGCAACCCTTTAATACAGTTCCTCATGTTGTGGTGACCCCCCCAACCATAAAATTATTTTCATTGCTACTTCATAACTGTAATTTTGCTACTGTTATGAATCGGGGGACCCCTGTGACAGGGTTGTTCGACACACACCCCTCCCTCCTCAAAGGGGTCACGACCCACAGATTGAGAACCACTGGTCTAGAATAAGGTTAAAGAGTACAGACACTGATGTTAGTCCAGCTGGGTTTGAATCCGGACCTCTCCATTTATTAGCTATATGAAGTTACTTAATCATTTTAAGGCTCAGTTTTCCCATCTGCAAAATGGGTGTAATAAAAGTAATCTAATGTATATGGTTATTAGGAGAAGTAAATGAATTTACTAATTGAAAAGGTGCTTCAGAAATCACTGTTACTGATTCATGATGATAAACCCTTGGGAATGAGACAAGCAAATTACAATGACATTTCACATTCTAATAAAACATCATGGCTTTACATAATAAATGCACACATAACAAGTATATGAACATTTGTAGTAATTTCAGAAATTTTTATTTTTCAAACATACCTTTGACGAATTACAGGATCAGATTTTTCAGGATCAATGTAAGTTCGTAAGATCTCATTAATAGTTCTATTATCTGGGACTCTGCCCCAAAATGAAAAGAGGAAGAAAAGACAAAAAGAAACAACCCACATTATTGTTCACAATATTCTCTTAAAGGTGTTAAGTTAAAATTACTGAATCTTGTGGCTTTTTGGCTTGAATAGTGGAACACCGACCTTTCATTTTATTTCTTGGAAAAATATAACACCCTTTTAAGCAAAAAGTCACCCAGGGAAAAAGTTCAAAACGATGTCTTGGACACACTTAACAAGGTCTTCAACACAAACACCCTGAGAAGCTCCCCACAAGTCAATCAATCAGCTGTGAAGCTTCTTTTAGCACACACCTGTGCTCAAATAAGAAGAAAGTCCAGATGTGAGAGTTTCAGAAACCAGAAATCTTTTTTTTTTTTTAAAGAATTTCAAATGATGCTAATTTCACTAAAGGTTCAAATTTATTCACCCCGATTTTTAAAGCCAAATTTAAAAACAAATAAAAATGTCTCCAAAAAACACTATTTTATTTTCTAACTTTCCTATGTGAATATTGTTTTGAACCATAAAAGCTGAAGAAACAAATTATGACAATTTTGTGATACTAGTTTTCCTATATTATACATACCCACAATATAGTATTGTTATATACTCCTCAACTATAAAATCTAAGACTTTATGAAACTTCAAATAAGAAATCCTTCACTAAACTCCACATGACAATCACAGATGACACTTGAAACTACTTAAAAAGCAACTTCAAATTTTTCCTAACTCAAGATTAGTACAGATGCACAAAAGATTCCTTAGTGATACTTTAGAAATGTTCACATGAAAAGAGGCAACTGCTTATGCAAACTAATTCCAATTATGAGTATGTGTGTATGTATGTCTGAGTACATACACAAACACACACAAGAAGGATTAAAAGAAACCGTGGAAAAGTGGATTTTCCGTGAACGCCTTGAACCCTCTCCTATGTACTTGAGGGGCACACTGCTGCGGACACTCAAGCTCACTGCCGTCGAGTGACTCCAGCTCGTCAGAGGCTGGTCCCTCCGGTGTTCCGAGGCTGTGAATCATTACTGGAGTAGAAAGCCTAATCTTTCTCCTGTGGAGTAGCTGGTGGGTTTGAACGACTGACCTTTGCGGTTTGTAGCTCAATGCATAACCCATTACTCTACTCAAGTTCCCTGTGCTTTTAGAACTTCTTGCCCCTTGAGAAATACATCAGACACATACACATTTATATAAGGGATAGGCACTGTTTGAAAACAAATTAGTGACTATCGTATACATCTAAGAAAATGTTCAGCTCCCTCGACGACCCTTCAATGATCGCCATCAATTTTATGCTTTTCCTTTTGAGTTCTACCAGCTCCTTGTATATCCCCAAAGCATACAAAACGCAAACCTCACTGCCATCGACCCTAGACGGGCAGGGTAGGACTGCCCCTGGGGGTTCTGAGACCGTGTCCAGCTTAAGTTGAAACACAGAACCAAACATTATGCATTCTTCTGAATTTGCTTTTCTCACTCAAGATTATTTCTGAAAGTCAAACATTTCCCGTGGTACACATCCAATCGACTACACGTCTTAACACTTGGGTTAAGTTTTATTTTAAATAGGAGTAAAACAAATCAGTTCTTAGACAAACAAACAAAAGACCAAACCAGTATTAAGATACAGTAATGAGACTATACCTCTTTTCTATGTACACAGCTTGACTTTGAGGAAACAGGAGCTTTACATGCCAACAAAACTGTTGATTTCTAAGAGAGAAAAAGATCTTGTGAGTGTCAAGGTTGACAATAAATGCCTGAGGCAAATCAAACTTTCTAAAGGTGTGTTTAAAAAATTCTAAAGGAAGCCTCACAATTTAACTATCTTTTCTATAAAGAGTGCTTTTCTTGTTTCTCGCATTTTTGCAGCTACGTTTCTGAAAAAATATACTTGTAATTTTTTAAGAAGTTAAAAAAAAAGTGAAGTCACTCTGAATTCCAAGGACTTGACATTCCTGAGTTAGAAGGGCATTTCTCCTAGTTCCGGGGCCTTTGAGATTAGTTTAATACTACTCTCAGTTTACAAATACTTTTCCTCATGACTAAACCAATGAGCTGATCTTTTCCTCTGACTAGTTGGGGAATCAGGTGAATGAAGTGCTGTCTGGCGGAGTCCAGCTGGCTGCAGATACACTGCTGAGGCATGAGTACGTAGTGAAACACTGGACAACAAGTTGGTTGCTAAGCAGAATGCACTCGGAATTAGAGCCCTTGGCTTTTAGGTCTCTTGGCTTAACATAGACACTACGAATTCACTGATGTCTGATTTTAGAGAAACTACCATACTATGTTATAATTAAATCAAAACTTGGTGACATCAGACATAATTTCTTTCTTTAAAAAATTTAATACTCACAATATCAACTCCATTACATAAATGTAAATGTCTTCCTTATATGACAAGTTTACACATGTTTATTTTTTAGAAAAATTTCTAAAAATCTTATTGGAAAGTAATGGCTGGCAGCATATGCTCCAAGCAATGGCCAACATCTCCTTTAATCGCCCTCTTAGTAGTATGCCTCAAAATCTATAGATTTGATACTATCTATCATACTGTTCACTAAACATGTATGTGATTCAAACTGGTAGAAGATAATGACCACGAACGAAGTAACACTCCACCTATTAGGGCAAACATCATAGACCTGTACATGGCAGCTTCTTTAATAAGACAATTGCTGACACTAGATTTTAAAATGCTTGACTGTACTTATACTGAAAGTATATCTTATCGTATAAGAAACAATCATGTTGAGTCTATTATTCTTGATAGAACAAAATGAACAAATCATGAAGCATCCTTCACCAATCTAAAGATCAGATGCCAAAAATCTTAGGGGGAATTACTTAAGAAATGAAGCAAAAAACACAAAAGCTATCAGTATTAATAATTCTTCAAAAGTGAAACAACTTGCAGTATTTATTATGTGTTAAGCTGGCATTTCACTACCACCAGGAGACTGAGGGAAAGCACATTTCTCTCTCAGTAAGAAACACTTTCCTTATTACTCTTAATTCATAATAAAGTTTTTCCCCCTAAATATGCGGGGGCTTTAAAATGGAAAAAAAAATGCTTATGGAAAAACTATGAACAGATTTCAAGGGTTCTTTTGTAGCAAAATAAACTTATATGCCTTATAAAATGTCTTAATGGGATTTAGATGTAGTTTGAGGACAAAGAAGGATAAGTCATCAGTTTTGGAGAGACATAGATTTTGTTAAATTCTATTAAAATTGAAGTAAGAACAAACATCATGCTCATGGTGGATCTTAGATGAAGAATGGTGAAACCATTGATGGTTTAGGAAAAGTTTGGATATCGGCAGTGTACAAATGGATTAACTCCTTTTAAGGAGGAATTAGACAGTGTTAAAAATGAAACCCACCAATGCAACTGAGAGGAATTACTGAAAGCTGAATGAAGGACGAACATAATAGTGGGACAAGAAGAAGATAAAAGGAAATAGAGGAAAGAACTAGGAGGCAAAGGGCATTTAGAGAGGTCTAAATACAGGCACGTACATATGTAAATATTTATATATGATAGGGAAACAGATCTGTATACATATATTTATAGGTTTAGTATTAAGTTGGCAGGCAGATATTGGGCCTATACTCAAGTATTCCCTCAACATAAGAACACTTTGTTCTAATAACTTGGCATTCCGGGATGCTCACCTTCCCAACACGATCGCTGTAGACAAAATGGGTGCATAAGCAAATGTGGCGAGGAAAGCTGATGGTGCCCAGCTATCAAAAGATAGCGGCTGGGGTCTAAAAAGCTTGAAGATAAACAAGCGATCATCTAGCTCACAATCAACAAAGCCAACATGGAAGAAGCACACCAGCCTGTGTGATCATGAGGTGTCGATAGGATCAGGTATCAGGCATCAAGGACTCAGAACAAAAATCATATCATTGTGAATGAGGGGGAGTGTGGAGTGGAGATCCAAAGCCCATCTGTAGCCAATAGGACAAGCCCCTTACAGACAGGTCACAAAGATGAGATGAGCCAGTCAGGGTGCAGTATAGCACCAATGAAACATACAACTTTCTTCTAGCTCTTTAATGCTCCCTCCCCACTACTATCATCACCCCAGTTCTACCATACAAATCTAGCTAGACCAGAGCATGTACAGATAAGAGCTGGAAACACAGGGAACCCAGGATAAACCCCTCAGGACCAATATTGAGAGTAGCAATACCAGGAGGGTAAGGTGGGGTAGAAAGGGGGAACCGATCACAATGATCTACATATAACCCCCTTCCAGGGGGACTGACAACAGAAAAGTGGGTGAAGGGAGACACTGATCAGTGTAAGACATGAAAAAATAAAAATTTCTAAATTATCAAGGGTTTGTGAGGGAGGGAGGGAGAAAAAACGAGGAGCCGATACTAAGGGCTCAAGTAGAAAGAAAATGTTTTGAAAATGATGATGGCAACAAACGTACAAATGCTTGACAGAGTGGATGGATGTATGGATTGTGATAAGAGTTGTACTAGTCCCCAATAAAATGAGTTTAAAAAACCCAACAAATCAACACATTACCTATAAGAGAAAAAAAAATCCCACAGAAGACCATTCACATCACCTTGCAAAGGGAAAAAGAAATCCTGTGTATGCCTTAATTGAAGAGAATGATGATAATAGTAGAAACACTGCCCTAGAGTTCTCAGTTGATTCAGCTTGCACAATTCTGACTGAGGAACTAACGCTGGGCCAACCTTCTACTCGATGAGGGCCAAAACCCACCTAAATCTGCTGCAGACAGGAGCAGGGCTTTAAGTGGAAAATGTAAACAAGTGGGGTCAAGATGCTGAGACATTTCTTGGATGAATTCTAACAGGTGATGAAATAGGACTTTAACAATACAACCCTGAAGACAAAACACCACAGCACCCGCTACCCCGAGGTGAAAGCAGTCTAGTCAAAGTAGAAGTGGATTCAAGAAACAGCAAGGTCTCTGGCAACAGTTTTTTTGAATGTTCAAAGCATTTTGCTTATAGACTTTCTGGAGGACTTAGGAATGTTAACATCTGCTTAGAATGATAGTGTTTTAAGAATGGTAAAGCTTTATTGGGAAATCTCCCTGGAAAACGTTGAACCAGAGTCCTTTTCCACCATGACAATGTTTACCCTCATTCCTCTCATCAAACAAGGGAAGCCATCACCTTACAGTTCTGATTTGGCTCCTCCCAGCTACTTTTTTTTTCTTATCTTAAAAATAATCTTTAAAGGGCACCTTTTTTTCTTCAGTTGATAATGTATAAAAGAGAATACATTGGGGGATAAATTCCCCAAACGTTCACTTCTTTAGGGATGGGCTAAATTATTTTATCATCACTTATAAGAGTGTCTTGACCTGGTTGTAGGTTAAGTTGAGAAATAAGCTTTGTTTTAAATTTTTATGTTAATTCTAATTTTCCAGGAACTTTTGAAGTCCCCTCATATAGTTGTTTCCCCATATTACGTTAGAGACACAAGGGATCACTGACTTGTGGAATTGTAAATCATACCCAACCTCCTCAATCACTGCTTGGGTAATTCAAAAACCATTCATGTTCATTAACATTCAGCAGACCCTAAATACTTCAGAAAGTACTTAACATTCCAGGCACAATGAAAGGAAAGTCCTTAAA